CATAACAAATGGAGCTGAAGCCCTCAACATGCATTTTAATAATGGAATTATATGTTACAAAGTTAAGTTCAGTGATAYACACAACAGCGGACTTGCCTATCGGGATACCACAAAAATCGTAGGAARGCTGACGAACTTGGATTACAAATTATTTGATAATCCTTTTTGACTGTGCCTGTTTTTTATTATATCACAATTTTGGATGACATTTAAGGGCTACACCAAGTTATGCACGTGAGTTAGTCAACATTTATTAAAATATGTTCTAATATTTTAATTCTAAGAGGAGCCATGAATGTATTCATTTTATAGTTTTTTTTTTTTAGTGGTTTAAAGGTATTAGAAATGACCTGAATAATTGTAAGGAATAGTGTTTTTGTCATTTGCACTAAACTTAATAGTTTATAAATATTAACCGTGATTAAATTGAGTGTTTTAAAGGCACAACATGTACAATAATATTTAAATATATTTTACTTTTTATAATACAATAGCTAAATACTTAAACTTAATGAATACGAAGATAAAAAATCACTGGTAGTAATACAGCTAATATTATTTATTCATATTGAATGACTATCTTCTGTATTATTTATCAATGATGCCCACGGATCTTCCAACATTGATGGATGAAAATAGCTTTCATCACTATTAACATTATTCCATTTTTTACAACTCTAAAACAAATTAGCAATACTTAATCAAACCATAATAATGAACTGAAAATACATACATTATTTTCATAGAGTTTAACTATGCACAATATTCGCTACTACAGTTATATTATATCAAAACGTTAACTTACATTAGGATTTTGATTATTATRTTCATTAAATTGTGGTCTGTATGAGGAATAACTATTTTGTTCGCGAGGCATATAACCATATGAATTGTTGTGCTATAAAAAAAAATTAAAATAAAGWGTTAGAATATTATTACAATACATTTTCTGTGTTATTATTTAATGTAATAAAATTGGTTACATCTGAACTGCTGCTGTTGTTAAATCTGTTGGGAGTCCATTGGTATGGTGATCCTCCTCTCCCTCTGGATCTTGGACTATTGAACCTCGGTGAACTACTGCCACGTCCTCGCCAATTCTGTTTGACAGGTGATTGTTGAGGAGTGTTGTCGTACAGCAAAATATTATCCTTTAATGTTTTGTTAATTGGACTTGATGACGATTCTACATTTGGAAAAGGCGATGAGCTATCTGAAGTGGTAGATGTATTCCTGGACCTTATTAATGGCGATTTGTACTTTAAACTCATGTTGGGTCACAGTGTTTCTTAATGACACTGTACAACAGTTAATAAGTATATTTAAATAGTTAATTTTAAAAATACAAATTAATATCTAATAATTAATTGCACAATATATTTATAACAATTTAATTTCAATATTTGTGGTGGTTAACAGTTAACTCTTACAAGTTATGTTACAACAAATTTAAATTGATCTACAAATAAATAAACATTGTCACTATATTTTGTTATGATCATTTTAGTGATAACAGATAACAAATGATAATGTCTGTTATCAATAGTCTCAACTCAATTTACAATTCACTCGTTCAGAGTACTTCAATATATTTTTGTAAATTAGTATTTACATACATTCTTCAAACCGTTTCAATTACTTTTTTAGGGTACCTACTAATATTACTAAACTAATTTTATGTATTTTTAGTTCATTACTCTATGAGCTTCATAACTTAACCGAATAATAATCTAAGTATCKTTTAAATCAAAATGCTGTCTTCACTTGTCAAAGAACATCAAGTAAAACAAGCTGCCCGTAAAGAAAGCCAAGGTAAACATGTTTTCTCATAACTACCCCTTATTTGAGACTCGTAACACATAATTAATGTTTGTTCAAAAGATATTAAAAGAAAAGAGGCAGTAAACGCTGCCAATGAATTAACTAACGCACTGGTAGAACACCTTAATGTGGGGTAAGAAAAATGTATTTATTTAATTTTAAAGGTATATCAAACGAATGCGATACTGAGATCATTAACTAAAATTAATGAAATATTTATATCTAATTGATTTTATAATTGCCATTAGTGTGGCCCAAGCATATCTCAATCAAAAAAAACTTGATGCTGAAGCAAAACAATTACACCAGAGTGCTATCGTCTTTTCCAAACAAACTTCTCAATGGCTGTCACTGATCGACAACTTTAATAGCGCTCTTAAGGAGCTGGGTGATGTTGAGAATTGGACTCGAACCATTGAAAATGACATGCAAAACATCACCACTACCCTAGAATATGCATATAAAGGTGATTTTCACATAACATGAATTATGAAGTATAGATCAGTTTTAATTGTTTAATTATTTTTCAGTTTCCCAAAAACCTTAGTTAATGCTGTCTGCTGTCTTCAAGAACATGGCTTGATTTTTAAATCTGTTATATTTTATCATTCATTAATTGTACTTATTTAAAATAAGTGGATACACAATTTATTATTATTATTTTGTATTATTTTTGTATATTATACATAAAACTATATTTATATTTGAATTTTATTTTTACTCTTTGTAAAGTAAAATAACAGCTTGTATAGAGCAATTAAAATCACTGATAACTAAGTATTATCAAAGAACATAAGGACATCATAAATGATTCAGTACCTATATTATATTGAATTTAATTGGAGAGAAAAACAACTATTTGTTAAGTTTTTTAACCACTAATGACCTCTTCATTACATTTATAGACTTTAACATTTCATGACTAATTAGTTTTAATTATGCCTTTAGCCAATTAAATTTTGTATAAGATTAAAATATAAATAAGTATTTTGAAGAAATTAAAAATTAAATATTC